TCCTGCCAATAAACAGTGCTTCCCGATCAAATTGATCCTCCGATCAAATCTTGAACAGACTTACAAAAAACTGCTGGAATCACAAAAATAGGACAATGCGTCAGTTTTCAAAAAAGGATCAGAACTTTGTGAAAGAAACCTTACCAACTGTCACGGTGAAAGTACATGACACTGAATTCAAAGCTGCATCTATAGCTGTGTAGGTAACCAAGTAGATTCCAAACGGGAAAAACGTATTGGGGAATCGTGGAGGATTTGAGGTCAGAGTAACATTAACCACTCCAAAATTATCGGTGGCTGTAGCTGCTTGCCAGGTAATAATTGCTCCAGGGGCATTCCCTGATGTGACTTCTTGACGGATGTTTGCTGGGCAACTGATGACAGGTGGTACATTGTCCTCTGACAATAACAAACAACGGGTAGAAACATCAATTTGGTAATGCATTACTAGTTTACTTTGATGTACAACCATTGTCCCAACAGAAGGAAATTTCTTACCACTGATTTTAAATTCAACAGTTTCAAATTGACACTCCTTGAAGCAAATTTTGATTGTAGAGCTGAACAATATCATTCAGCAGAAATTCAGTGGTCTCTGAAATAAGACAGTAAGTACGAAAAATGTTACGATACATTTTGACGGTCTGCAGACTGTTTTTGACTCTCCCTAGGTTTTACTTAAAGTAAAGCAGGCTACTTTACACTGCAGCTGGACAAATATAGAATTCAAAGGGAACAGGGGATGGACAGTGGGGAAACGAATTGGGATTATCAAAAAATCCCTTCGGAGAACCCAGTATTCATTCACAGTGAATTCAGGAACTACTAACCCTGGCGTACAACTGTCACATCAAATTGACAGCTTGCTTGGAGCCCAGCATTATCAGCATATAAGTAGAGAACACTGGTTGTTTGACCAATTGGAAATCTGTCCCCAGGTTGACGGGATCGGAGAATAAGCATAACGGTTCCTGTATTATCATTTGCTGTGGGTTCTATCCATGTCACTGGAAAGTCTACGCCAGCACCAAAAGGAGCAGTCTCAGTGATGGAGTTGGGACACCCAGTAACCACTGGCGGAGTGACATCCACTACAAAACAAAGTAAAAAATGGTTTAAAAATTGTGTGTGCATTAAATACGATATAAATGGAATGGAGGGCAACAGATGTTATTGATATGTAAAACTAACATCTAAAACTTAGATCAATAAGAAGTCACGGTTCTAGTGCAAATCGGGTTTACAGGATAATAGAAGACTGCTGACTCCAGAGTTTGAAACCCCAGACAAACGACCACTCACAAAATTTCACAGTTCTCACAATTCCATGCCTTTTCCTCAGCATCCATGTTCAAATTGTGCGCACCATATTTTGATCTTGCATGAGTGGTGATATATTTCAGAGATACCTCAACAATGTCTCCTCAAAATGTGGATGGAGCAATAAAAACATGGAAATAACCATACAGTGCAAAGATTAGACACTCCAATTTCTTACATTTTAAACAAGGGATTTTTACAGGTTCTGAGCTATCAAACTTGACATTATTTTTATGAAATGTTCAGATGAGCTTTGAAGCTTTTCACGGTGAAGGTGGCAAGTAAGGCAAACACACTTGCGATTGCACCGTGCAAGGATGTCTCTTTTTGAGTATGTGTGGTTCTGAAAAGAAACAGAGGATATTCATCGTTTCAGATGGTACGCTCTGTCTGTGGTCAGGACGCTGCAGTCCGGGCACTGCGGTTCTTTTCAAAACAAAAAGAGACATTCTTGCATGGAGCTGCCACAAAATTCGTTACCTCATGAAATGTTCAATCAAATACCTCCTTTCGAAGGACTCTTGTGATAAAACTAATTCTCACCTTCTGATTTGTTATAGCAATATCCACAACGATCTAACATGAAGTATCTTTGAGCGGCATATGCAAATGTTCTTTCAGCATTTTTCTGCTCTTACCAAATGTCACGACGACAACGAATGAGCACATGGATGCCAGATTGTTGCTGTCAGTGAATGTGTAAATGACTTCTGTCCTGCCAACAGGAAAGTTTTGGCCTGGAGTGTGAGTGCGTGTTACAGTAATGGGACCATCATCTGTGGCAGTAGGTTCTACCCAGGTGGTAGCAGCAGACCCTTGAAAAGTGTTGGTGATCAAAGTTCTATCACTTGGACAGCCGCTAATCACTGGTGGCCTGTTGACTGAAAGACAGAGAGAGCACTTTATTCAACAAGGCATGAATAGAGCTGTTTCAGTAAGTGCATTTCCTAACACAAGTGTAGTTTGAAAAAATAACCAACATATGAAAGTTTGAGGGATTTTCAAACATGTAGGACTGAAATAGCCCTCTTTTGCAAATAATTTAGTACTTGAATAAACCACCTTGGACCTAACATTTGAAAATTAAAAACTCGCCAGACATATTTACAAACATCAGCTACTAGTTGCCACATAGCTGGTCAAGAGTTGTATGCACAATGCTTGTGAATTTGCAAAGGGCAATTGATGGGTGAATTTTCAATCATGTGTCATAAATCATTTGTTCAAATACACAGAACACCAAGTTTGCAAAAACTGTCAATGGATCAATAGACACTCTATCCATCCAGTTCATAGACAATTTTGGACATTGTAAGTGATGTAGGGATTTATTCAGGCCTGAGAAGTTTTGTTTAGGTTTTTTTTTTCAAGAGTTTTGTGGACAAATTTCAGACTATACAAATAGTAATTGTGAAAAAAAAACAAATCATGAATGTTGCGAGGATAATTTAATTTGGAGAAAAAGATGAAGGTGGAAAGTATATTCCACCTTCATGTCATGGAACTATTCTTTCTACTTTACTCATGACCATTTATTGTTTTTAATTGAAGAAACGTATGGAAAACAATGTGGAAAAGACAATATTTACTTTATGAAAAATGATATAAAAATGAGGTATATATTTCATGACATCAATTCACAAGTGTACTTACTCAATTGAACGGTTATGGAAAAGGTACACACGGAGAAGAACCCATTCACGTCAGTGAAAGTGTACCTTACTTCAGTGGTTGCCACTGGAAAAAGCTGCCCAGGAGTATGTGTCGATTGCGTAGTGAAGGTATTTTCATCTCTTGCAGTTGGTGGTATCCATGACACGGTGACGCCGAGTGGATTTGTAGTTGTCCTAATCATATTTGTTGGGCAACCACTGATCACGGGTGGAGATGTGTCCTCTAAAAAACATAAGAAGTAAAAAGGAAACAATCCAAACTCTCAATAAGAGTTATTTTTGACTAAAGAAAACCCTTTGATTACAGATTTGACTCCAATTTAGATGCTCGAGGGTCGTGCGATGCATGATGTGGCGTCAATGTGCTCCGTCGTGTTTGATTCTCAGCCAGTCATCTGATTATCACTTCTATGTCTGTTTACTACTCACCAAAGGTCAATCACCACTGCCTGCTCCCAGTTTACTCTATGCCATCCTCTCCTTCTTTAAGCCATTACTGTCCATGTACATGTACGCGTATGGGCTTGATTTCAATCTTCTTTTAACATCATCATTTGACACAAATGGTTAAAGGACTTGATAACATCACAAAGCCTTGGTGAAGGCCTTTAGACCAAACTCCTCTGTGTTTTGATTAGGCAGGCTCTCTGATCTTGTCATTACATGTACTTTAAAGTATTTCCAAAAACGGGTTGTGAATTGTAACTTTCAATTAATTCTTGGGCCTACCAGAACGTGTCTGAAGTACAAACCTAGACCTGTGAACATAACACATTTTGTAAATATCACAAATGTACTTGTTAAAATATTTATGAAAGATACATGCCCCAACACTACTAGAGAATTGGAAAAACATCCAACAGATACATTTGAAATTAGAGTACGCATCTGTTTTGCTCAGAAAGCAATGGTTTTTCTGCTTTTTAAAAACTTTTAAAGCCTTCTCACTGGGTTTATTGTGAGGAAAGATGTGTACAATTAAAATGGGAGTCAGTTACAGATTTAAAATTCATATCAAGTCACTTAATAATATCATTACAATGTCATTGTAATAGATACTTACAACATTCAAGGAAATTTTGTATGAGCACATTGGTGGTGGGTCAGACAAATGTAGTAAATGGCCAGAAAATGTTCAATGTCCAACTGTAATTTCACACTCTGCAATGTTCGGAGCACATGGTCTTAACTTGGTGTGAGTTTTTGGCCAAAGTGCTGCCAACAAAATTATGTAAAAGTCTACGGGATTTGGGGAAGAAAAACAACAACAAAATCTTTTAAAAAATAGTGCTTTCCTGCAGTTTGTGGGAAAGCAACTGAAATCTAGATAGTGTCTTCTTCTGAGGCAAATATTTGTAAGCAACTTTCAACATTTCAAGCACACTCAAACTTAACAGACTGGCATATTTGTTGAATAAGAAAGCAGAACATTCAAGCATTGGGATGAATATGTTTGACTGGCACACAGATTCTTCAATTACAGAGAATACATCATTCTCAAGTTTTCTTTTATCTCTACAAAGACACCACTGTCCAGAAGTGGAGAGTTGCTCACGGAAACAATACAGACCTCAAGTTAATGTATTTTCTTTGGTTCGATCGATCACTGTTATGCTCACATATGGAAACTGTGTTAGCATAAGACAAGAGATTAATCTTTCCAGGTTTGTCCAACAAATTTCAGCTGCACAAATCACAGGCAAAAGAATGCATAGCAGCTATAAGTCTCGGCAATTGTAATAACAATTTGTTAACTGTGATGTTTGTATCTAAAACTAAATTTGATGATTTTTAACGCTGTAACGTTAATTTAGGTTGACATGCAAATTTGAATAAATTTACATACGTAGAACGACAGTGATGACAAAACTGCAAATGGTTGTCAGGCCGCCAGTATCCACAAATGTAAAGGTCACACGTGTTGGGCCAACAGGAAAAAAATTTCCAGAGGAGTGACTTGCAGAGACAGTGAAATCACTTGCATCTGTTGCTGTTATGGGATCCCAGGAAACCCTCAGGGGTTGATTGACAGTGGTCACTCGGGTAAAGTCTCCAGGGCATCCTGATACCACAGGGGCCTCTGTGTCAACTAATAGAGAGAATGCACACCAAAAAAACCCTTTATAACCTCCCCCAACAAAAATCTACTCAGCAGATGTCAACAGCACTTTGCAGAGTTAGTTTTATCTCTAGGGTGCGTGGCAAAATATCTTCCTAGGTCAGAGACTTCAAGATAATTCACAATTTGGCCAAACTGTGAGTTGAAACACAGAGGAAAATTAAACATGTTAACTCACAAAACCGGGGAAGGCTTTTAAAGATGAAAACTGTGATGTTCCACAATCCTAATTCAACTGACTGCTTCACATTTTCAGCCAAAATGACTTTTTGGCAAGTAAAATCCACAAAAGTAATTCCTTTTATCATCAAGTGTGTGTTAAATGATTTATAATCAGTGAAAAGGCCAGGATTCATTCCAGTAACCCTTTTCTTGTAGGGGTGCCAGGAAACTGGCATGGTGGACATTTCAATAACCTATCACTCTACTGGGTTTGAACCTTGCATACCCGGGCTTCAGCACTGTTTATCTGGTAAGCTGGAGTTGCATGTTGCCTGCATGCAAGGGGGGATGATGTTGGGCCTTGTTCTCACTTTTGTTACAGCCAGAAAAATAGCTGGATGGTTTAATGTTTGCTCTTCATAAATACACCTGTTACCATCCCCCATTCCCCTTTTACATTTTGGCTGTCAAAACTCGTTACTGACCATATTCGGTGAGTTTGTAATTTTTGGAGATTTTTTTTTTAAATTAAATGTACAGTTGCAATAAGTTTCTTCTGTGTTCTAAAGATGTGTTCAAAGTTTATGTCACACACACTTGTAGCTTTGGCTAGTGTTGGGGCTGTGCACCGTGTGGTGTCAGAACAGTTATATTAAGTGCAAATAGGCTTCGCTTAAATACAGCATGTGGCTGTGGCATAAACCTTGTCCTTTTGTTTCAAGTCTGAGTCACCATGGCCCAACTTCACCTGATGCCTGGCTTTAGCAGTGCATTCTGCAGTCCTTCCATTCACATACTCACATGTTTAACCCATTCCAGAAACAGTTTTTAAAATGTTAGACCTTTGGAATTTTAAGGAGGAAGGATAGGAGGTGAGACACACAAAAATAACAATATGGTATTAAAACAACTTTTGCAGCATTGGTTTTGTAGGCAAAACACAAACAAGATTTTCAATGCAAAGTGATTTTTTGTCTCAAACAGAAAATGTGCTAATCTGCTTAGACACCACTTTTAAGCAATAAAAGGTTTAAAAATTTTTTAGAGGAACTTACCAGTTTGCCAACTGACGCGGAAGCCAGGAAAATTAATGTTTTTGTCAGTGATGAAGTACATCCATACTGTATCAGTGTTCACGACTGAGAAAGGCATGGGAGGAGTGTGGCCTTCAAAAAAGAAGACACCTTCAACAGATGTGTTCACCCCATTGAACTGGCTAAAGGGTGGAACTAAACCACTGCCAATGTAGAGCTCATCTTTATCCGCCTCGATTCGAAATATCGTATCAAATATAAAATTGAATCCACTTGCTCCAGGAACATATAGCAGATACAGAGCTCTGTAGCGATCCGGGTAGTTACTTGGGTAGTTGACAGACATGAAGCTTCCAGTAGAACACTGAGATCCGTAGCAAGTGAAAACGGCCTGATTTTCTAAGGTAACAAAGAGGGGGAGGTTTTATTTTTTAAATTGTTAGGGGAAGCAGCTCTTGTGTCTACATGCTATGGCATCAAAAGAAGAGAAATCATGGCACTCCGAGGCACAAGCGTTCTTGAAAAGATTGACTATTGGTCAACCCTTTCAGAGGACAAACCTATCTGTGTGGTCTATTAAATGAGGTACATTGCATGGACTACAATGGGAATAAGTAGGGTTTTAGCAGACATTTGAAATATCAAACCACATCACAGTTAGTTTACTTCACAACCAAACTTGTATATGACATATTGAAATGACAGGGAGAGAGACACTTGACTTTGGTATACGCACAGCACCTGCTTGCGTCTTAAACTTGACCATTTTGAGTAATTTATACAAATTCTGATTTTGGCAATGTCCTCAGCCAATTATTTGAAATCTGAAACTTACGTGTTTGGTTTGTACAGTCAAATCCACCCTGATTGGGCATATTACACTCACAGACGTAGCCCTCTTGACTGTTTCGGACAAAACAGTTGGCACTATCACGACATGGGTTGGGGTTGCAAGCACCTACATTGTGTAATTGAAACAAGAAAATATTATTTATATCTCTCAAGTCTTTGGTAGCATTACTGACAAATTCAATGAAAACAGGCAGTAACAATTCAATTTGACAAACATTTTCTAGTTCAAAATTAATACATTTTTTTCTTCAATGGACCTTATCACACTTACTTACAAGAGTGCTTATTTCTGCCACATGAGCTGATATTTATCAGATAAAAGCATACACCATTAACTTAGTTAAAACAGCCTGTAGGCACTGTCAAACAAGCAGCATAGATCATATCTTCAAAATATGTTAAAATAAATAATTTATTTCCTTAAGGCTGATTTATACATGGCATTAGAGCAAGCACAAACCTGATTTTGTAGGCTGCAATTTGCAAAAACTGAGCACAGTTTAAGTCCAGCAAATTTCGATGGAAATGTTTTGTGGTGTTAGATCTGCTTTCACTTTGCTTTATTCGACCTTTAGAATGTTACAGTCTTGTGATGGAAATAAACTTTAAATGGGAACGAGTTCCATATTCACCATCATATTAGATCTCGTTCATACAGTCTATGGGCCATGACAGAAATTTTTTTAAAAGTATTTTCAAAGAAAACCAGAGTTTTTAGATATCAATTTATACATTTTGGTAGTCTTCTAGACACATAAGAAGATAAACAGTGGCTGGACAGGGAATTCTTTCCTTTAACTGGAGCTTACCCCACACCTAGCCAACTTCCCTGCTTTTGGAAAGGCAGATGAATGCTTCATTTTTTTTGGTTCAAAAGCCATTGTATACTCCGAGCTGATAGACAGAACTGAAGCTGAAGCTGGAAAACCTCCAAAGAACTGTTTGGACAACACTGAAAATGAAGCGCCCACTTCACCTATTCAGAGCCTCCCCCCCGGCCTGCTTCATTTTTAATTCATTTAATATCTCATTTTTATGAAAGGCCCAAAAGAAGAAAAAAAATTCTCTTCATTGAAGGTCAGTTTTTATTGCAGAAATCTCACTAAGATAGAACACAAATCTAAAGACTAAGAAATATTTCCCATTTGGTTAGGCCCGAGCCTACTTTGAAAATGTTGTTGACTCTTAACCGCAATCAAAGAAGTGGCAGAGGATTAGGCTCAGCCTTCTCAGTACAAGCGTCGTGATTCCCTCAGCCTAGCCATAGGTCAGTCTGTGTGTAGCCAGCCTAACCCAGCATCAGACACCAGTTTGTATTGGGCGGACAGGAAGCTGTGTAGCAAGGAATCCTTAGCCCATGGATAATGATGTGGCATGAGTGACAAATCTTGAAGAAATTGTCAGTTTCTGCTTGGCTCGATTAACTCAATATGGTCAAGCCCTCATGCCCTAAAAGGCTTGTGTTATTTCCCATAAAATACAGGAAATTCCAGCATTTTCTTGAGCTAGTTTGTACAGTATTGTTCATGTTCATATAACTTAAATTGGGAACTCCTCGCATGGCACGTGTTTTACTTCAAATTTCACAGTAAGTGAAATTTCGTAAAGTTTTCAATATTCATGTTCCTAACTCTTGAAATTTGTACCCACTACAAAGGTCTAATAACAGTTAATTCGTCTTAATTTTGTAATTTTTTTCTGAAGAGCAAAATGAACTCTTTTAGAATGTGCCCTAAAATTAGAAGACAACTTTCTGAACAACACAAACTGTTGTATTCTTATGTGAGTGAAATTAATATTAAGTAGGCCCGGGGGCCTAATAAATTTTACTACAATTTATGGACATTCAAAAACGTTTATTGAAACCCTCCTATGCAAGGGTGCATTCTCAACATAGTTGTACTATTAGTCAAAATCAGACAAGTGACATATGATATGTCTATGTACTGTACAGGGGAAGTGGAAGGAATTTTTGACTGTGTAATGGAGTGCAAACTGTGACTTATATGTACACAAAAATGAGTGTGGATTTTGAATGAAAAGCTGAAAATTTTCCATAAAATGTTTGTTCTTATTCATGCCTTATTTCAATGAATTAAATGCTGGCTTCGCTTAAAAATTTACAAATTTTTAAATTGGAAATTAAACAGAGGAGCTAAAGTGTGCAGAAAAAGACACATTTTAATCACAATTTTCTATTTAAGAAAATGAGTTTCCAATAAACAGTGCCCTCGCTCATTTATGTATGTCCCTACCATTCTCGAGGTCGGGATGACGTCAATGATTCTTCTCTCTGAGTGATTGGTCAATTGACGGCTATTCCATATTTCACACTTGAAACTTAAAGGGGCAAAAGTAGTGTTAAAAAAAAATTATTGACTAAACTCTTTACCTAGGCTTTACATCAAATGTGTCTGAAATTTCATTATTAAGGCCTGAGGCATGCACTCAGTCTCCAACACTGTACCGAAAAGGTTTCAGTTATATTTATCATGTTGCAGCAAAAAAGGAGGAAAACATACAAATCCCTGTACAAAGACAAAGTGAATTGAGAATGCCCCTTTGCCCAGACGTGAGTGCAATAAACGGAACAACCTCCGATGAGAATGGGGACTCCGGTGCCGGTCTTCATCCTGTTCATCGTGTTCATGAAGACGTCGCCGGGCGTCTGACTTCGAGATCACCCAAAGCAAAGGCAAGGCGAACGCCGCGCCACCATGGCCACATGATCAAATTATGGATGGGGTTACCGCAGTAAATTCTTGTCTGTGCAAGCGTGTGATTTTCAACATTTAATTTCAAATGCTAGAGCCTACAAGCATGACAAATGAACACGATAGGCCTCAACCCAGCTGGCTCTAACGCGGGTGAAGTGGCGTCGCTATTTAGCCAACTTTTAACTCCTTTTTTGTCGTCTGCTTCGACAGCTTACCTAAAACCTGACACATTGTCGTACGAAACCATAAAAAATCAGGCAAGGAACCTAACTACAATTATTTTGAAGGCAATGTTGTCCCCAGAAGCTTGGATGGGATGTACACACGCACACGTACGAGGTTGAAAACCTGCGGTCAGCATAACCTCACTGTGGTCCTTTGTACAAACTGCTAAGACCAAACATCCAAAAGACCAAGTTCCCGGATGTCTGACCGCGAGAATACTTTTTGTTCTTTGAACCATGGAGGTAGAGTGATTCTACCTCCACGTTTGAACGAAGGCAATATAATATAATATAAAAGTCAGCCATGTTTTTGGTATCAATGGGTCAATTAAAAGAATGGCCACAAGTTGGAGAAACTTTAGAGATTTACATCAAATTTAATAATCAGTGACGTTTCATCAGGCTTTCAACATTACCCTTCAAAAATCTTGAGTAAATCCCTCCACAAAGTTCAAGTAAGTTTATTTTGGCCACATAACTATTCCGAATATCGAATTTTTTACATTCCACAATGAACTCTTTTATAATTCGCCCAAAAACGAGAAAAAAGTTTTCTTACGAACTTGGTACGTGAGTGGAGGTATTGATGATTTATCAGAATGTAACAAGTTTAAGGCAATTCTTAAATGCTAATGAGGATTTCCAGAGATTCGTTCAAGTAAGCCACGTTCGGGAACACTGCCCTGAACAATGCGCATGATTTCTGAACACCACTTTTTAAAAATTAACTGACACTGAAATGTCCCTAACGGTTGAACAGCATAAATTCAAAAGTTCACAGAACCGATATTTTACTCAATGAATTCGAAGTTGTTCTTTAAAACAAGGAGGTTTGGCATTGGGGACCCTGCCGAAGGTGCCAGTAATTTACTAAAATTACGACTCGACAGTTAACATTTCTCTTCCGGGCCGTGCAGGCCAAAACTTTGTTTAGTTTTAGGCAGACAACTTTTTTTGGCCAAACTACCATAGATGGGAAGGTTTATAAAATAGTTTGCAATTAGTTCATTCAGCTCCGACATATTTTAATCCCATCCCCGCGACTACACTGCAGACGCAGCCAACTATTTAATGGACAGGTCGTTCAATCAATATTGATCAATAAATCAACTTATCACTCAGTCATCATGCACTTATCAACCCGAAGTGGCTAAACTTAAGAGAGTATACCCTCTATACAAAAGTGTTCATGCGTGTTAAAACCACCAGCCTTCCTTACGAACTCATAAAGCGGCCCCACATTTGGGGGGACAGATCTTTTTGTGAACATAATCCAACATACCCTTTTTTTTTTAACTCAAATGATCGAAAGGTTAGAAGATTTACAAATGAAAACATCAACATAAATTAACAATAGAGTACTAAAGAGATTACAATGGAAAGGGATAAGAGATTACAAAACGCAACAGCACATAAATTAAGACATTGAACAATTAGATTTAACGGCATCCAAATCACATAGATTTAGGGATTTCCGAAAAGGCAAGCTCCAGAAGATGAATTGATATCTTTATTGTACTGTTATTCATTACATGACACTTACTAATCTGTCCATGCGAGGTTCTAGCTAGACCCAATACCAAGATAATCAACACGGCAAGTCGTTCCATCGTTGTCGGCGGTCTTCGTAAGTAGCGATCCCGCAAAACTTTCTCTTTTGGGGGATCACCCGCCCGACACAGCAGGTGATGTCTTGTTTTCCCCCGGCGAACACCAAGCAATACCAATTTCAAAAACGGAGATTGCGGTGGAGCAGTATCGATACTCAACCTACCAGGGCGAGAAACGACTCCGCTGTGCAGGACTGTCGGTGTTGAACGAGCCCCTCAAAGTTCCTCTGACGGATCCAACGGCAGCCTGCCTGCATGCACTGTACTGGCAAGTCCCGGTTCAGAAGTTCACAAAAACACGCCCCGATATTGTCCCCCGAAACACCGTCATTGGTCAAGGTTCCAGTCACGCTCCGTACTTTTAGTTGGTGCTGAAATAACAATGCATCTGTTGTCGCTGACAACTTTTACACATAAAGTTCGCCAGCAATGTAGATGGCTTTTTTTTAACATGCCCGGCTGAGTCACACAGGCGCAACACAAAACAAAACTCATACACCTTTCTCTATCCAATCTAAACTAACCTAAGCAAATTTACACATTAGTCTTTTTCTAACCAGACAGCAGAATTGTTTGTTTGTTTGTTTGTTTGTTTTTTTAATGATCACTGAAACGCTGCAACAGCTTTTTAGTTTCCTATTAAAACGAATCATGTTTTCCCTTCAATGACAACATTGTAAAATCAATGTAAAATGCCGTAAAAATTTCATTTCCATCATATAATGAAAACAACATGACATTCGAGTAACTTGCTATGCAATGTAAGTTCAGTCATAAAATTTGAACATTTTGCCTAATTTCTGTCGGACAGTGACTTCTTCTTTTCCTGTTTAACCTCAAGCAAGGATAGATCCAAAAATCATATTTTCGGGAGGGGGAAAATCTTGAGGGGGAGGGGTTCTTCAGGTAATCTTCATGATGTTCCTAGGATTTAACATTAAATTCTGGGTATTTTAAACACTTGGGAGAAAGGGAACTGAAACACAAACAGTCATCTTCTGTCCTCTTTTTTTCGGGGAGGGGCGTGGTTTGCTTCCCCAACCGTCTCGGTCAAAGGCATGATTAATAAACACAAAAATTACAAATCTGCCAATTCAGAAAGGACCTTGAATATCAGAACAGAATTCATTGTCAACTTTGTTGTGTCACGATTTATTAGCACCATTTACACGCTTACATCTCCGTACTACCTTCAAACCACAAAAGGAATCAGACATTTCATTTTTGTTTGAATGACGTTGACTGGACTTTTATTACAATTGAGAATCGAGTCAGGTTACGGTTAAGGACAAAGAAAAGCCTTTTATTTTTTTACGAAACCGCGTGCAGTGTCTGAAACCAGTCAGTGCTGACTGGGTGTGGTCATTTTTGTGTCGACAGTATATTTGCCGACCCCATTTCCTTATCCCATCCTGTCTTGCTTTAAAGAACAAATATTTGGCATCCTACCACGATGAATACTGACTGAAGCGCACTGCAGGTTGGCAATGCATTATAAAACAAAACAAAAATGTTTTTTGTTAAATACACAAAAACAAATAAAAAAGGTGAAGAGTCAACCAAAAATCAAAATTGAGTTTCCGCGCTCTGGGGAGGTGAATCCCTTGAGAAATAAAATTGCTGGGTTTCTAGTAATGTCTGCAGCAAGAGATGAGCTTGATGCTGAGACACGGCACTGTATACAAAAATTGTCTCACGACAGCAACACATCAGTGCCAATCAAAGGAGCCTCAACTGCTTGGAAAATTGTGCCCTCTCTTGATCCTGCCCAGGGCAGGCGGCATGTCCTTTTTTTCGTTATTCACCACTATTTGCTCCCCTGCACCCCACCCCCACCCCGCAATCCTTTTAAAAATACAACGACTGCAGTTAGCAAGAGTCTTCAGAACTGCTACTTAAACCACTACTTCCACTGGCATCATAGTCAGAATTAGACGGTGACAGGTCACGACCCCGATGATCTGACCTGGAAGATGATCTGTGATGACCTCTGTGTCCCGTTTCGCTCTTCTTTTTTTTTGTTTTCTTTTTCTTCTTGGACTTCTGCAAGAAAGACAGAAAGAACAGTAAACGAAAGAGGGTGACAGAACGAAAAGGACAGGAGTTCAAATTTGAAGTAAGAATTTCGTGGTGTACCTCTTGGGGTGGTGACCATGGCTACCCTCGATAGGAGCAACCATTTGTTTTTGTTCTGAAAATACCGGTATAACGAGAAAAGGGCAATATTGTGGGGACTTTTTCATATCTCTCCTTTCCCAAGTCATAAAAAGCCACAAATTGAGCCTCAGCCATCAAAAAAGTCATAAAAAAAGTTAGATAAAGAAATCCCCTCATTTGGCCCCTTCAAATAATGGTTTGAGATTAACCCTTGACCTCACTGCAAACTACTCTTTGACATTCGGGTGTCAAAATCGACTGGCAGCGGCTGAAAAATTATACAGTTCTGGGTGAGTTGGCTGCAGCCCTCTCTCTACTGGCTTCAGCAGCAGCAACCTATCATGTAGGTGGGAACCTGTTACATCCACACCGGCCTCGTTTCAGTGCGCTCTGCTGTGATTAAGCTATGACCAAAAACATCAATTTCAACTCATGCACATTGAGGACAATGCACGTGCGATCTGTCAGGTGATTGGCACGTCATTTCTTTTATCTGCCCCCCCCCAAAAAAACCTCATCAGTCATGTGGTGTGGCATATCACAATGGCAACGCTCGTTTGGGCCAGGGAGGGGACTGGGAGAAGGGATTCAAACCCGTGCCGATTTCAGACGCCCACACAGCACCGACTGGATGCCAACACAGAGTCAAAGAGACAGACTCGCTCAGCAGGAACTACATGCACTTTGGGAAATCCACAGATCGCACTTCTGCACCCAGCGAGAAATGAGACCGAGGGGTACCCC